CCCAAATTCTCCTCCTGGGGGTGAGGGGGGGGTTCCCCAATGGTGGGGAGGGGTCCCCGTGTGTGACCCCCTCCCCCAGAAGGGGGGGGGTGATGGTGACGTCGGGGTCCTGGGGGAGTTTTGGGGGTCCTGGGGGAATTTTGGGGAGGTTTGGGGAGTCCTTGAGGGGTTTTGGGGGGTTCTGATGGATTTTTGGGGAGTCCTCGAGGGGGTTTGGGGGCTCCTGAGGGGGTTTTGGGTGGGTCCTGAGGGGTTTTGGGGTGTCCTGAGGGGGTTTTGGGGGGTCCCAGAGGTTTGGGGGCTCCTGAGGGGTTCTGGGGGTCCCCAGGAGGGTCCCTGACCCCCCACCCCCCCCAGGCCGGGGAGCTGTGGTGGGAGCAGGAGCTGCAGGGGGGGATGGGCTACAAGACCCCCACCCCCTTTTTCCACACCTTCGTCAGCCACGTGAGTGGGCGGGGCCGGGGGCGGGGACAGTGGGCGGGGTCAGTGGGCGTGGCTATGGAAATGCGGGTGGGGCAGTGGGCGGGGCTATGGAAATGTGGGCGGGGCTATGGAAATGTGGGTGGGGCTATGGAAATGTGGGTAATGGAATGGAAATGTGGGCGTGGCTATGGAAATGCGGGTGGGGCAGTGGGCGGGGCTATGGAAATGTGGGTGGGGTCAGTGCATGCTATGGAAATGTGGGCGGGGCTATGGAAATGAGGGTGGGGCTATGTAAATGTGGGTGGAGTCAGGGGGCGGAGCTATGGAGATGTGGGTAATGGAATGGAAATGTGGGCGTGGCTATGAAAATGCGGGTGGGGCAGTGGGCGGGGCTATGGAAATGTGGGCGGGGCTATGGAAATGTGGGTGGTGTCAGTGGGCGGGGCTATGGCATTCTGGAGTGGGCAGTGGGCGGGGCTATGTAAATGAGGGTGGGGGTCAGTGGGTGTGGCTATGTAAATGTGGATGGGCAGTGGGCGGGGCTATGGAAATGAGGGTGGGGTCAGTGTGCGTGCTATAGAAATGTGGGCGGGGCTATTGAAATGTGGGTGGGGTCAGTGGGTGTGGCTATGGAAATGTGGGCGGGTCTATGGAAATGTGGGTGGGTCAGTGGGTGTGGCTATGTAAATGTGGGCGGAGTCAGGGGGCGGAGCTATGGAGATGTGGGCACGGCAGTGGGCGGGGCTATGAAAATGTGGGCGGAGCTATGGAGGTGTGGGTGCGGCAGTGGGCGGGGCTATGAAAATGTGGGCGGGGCTATGGAAATGAGGGTGTGACAGTGGGCGGGGCTGAAGGTGGCCATGGGTGGGAGGAGCCATTATGGGCGTGGCAAGGGGGAGGGGCTTGAATGGGCGTGGCCTGGAGGGGTGGAGCCAAATGAGCGCCGGGGTGGGGGCGGGGCCAATTTGAGTTGGGGGCGTGGTCTGAAGCGAGTGGGCGTGGCCAGACTGGGTGTGGTCATCGAAGGGGTGTGGCCTGCACTCGATGGGCGTGGCTAATGATGGGCGTGGCCATTGATTGGCAGGGTTAACCGCTCATTACCATATAAGGGAAGTGGGCGTGGTCATCGATGGGCGTGGCCATTGGCGGGCAGGGTTAACAGCTCATTAGCATATAAGGGAAATGGGCGTGGCCACTGCCATTAGTGGGTGTGGCCAATCGGATGCTGCCATGTAAGGGAAAGTGGGTGTGGTTTGGCTAAGTGGGCGTGGCCTGCCCACCCACGGCGGCTCCTGATTGGCTCAGGAGGGGTGGGCGGGGCTGAACTTCGCCTCCGAGGCCGAGGCCGCCGCCTTTGAGGGCCGGGTCCAGGAGAGGCTGCGGCGGCGGCAGCAGCGGGGCGGTGAGAGACCCCTCCCCAAAATGCGCCTGGGACCCCCAAATCCACCCCCAAAATGCGCCTGGGACCCCCAGATCCACCTGGGAACCCCCAAAATGCACCTGGGACCCCCAAATCCACCCCCAAAATGCACCTGGGACCCCAAAATCCACACTCAAAATGCACCTGGGACCCCCAAATCCACCCCCAAAATGCACCTGGGACCCCCAAATCCACCCCCAAAATGCGCCTGGGACCCCCAAATCCACCTGGGAACCCCCGAAATACACCTGGGAACCCCCAAAATGCACCTGGGACCCCCAAATCCACCCCCAAAAT